CTTTGCCCGATACTTCCCGAACACATTTCCTAGGCTATATCGCAGGCAGGTGGAAAGCTCGAGACATGATGTTGGGTGGCGTGGTGTGTAGAAGATGAATCAAAGATGATGTCAATTGCMCCCGCCGTTCGACGCACAAGAAGTTTGTCAAAAACAATGACAAGGGTGCCGCGCTCTTCTGAATTGCGAATTTCAGTTAGACTGGCTTGAACTAGCCTGCTCACCAGTTCGCTGATAGGAATATTATAGCTTATTGAAAATATACCTGAGACGCCCAGCCATCTTGCCCGTTTGAGAACCATCGTTTAGAAAAATGGTATATAGTTTACCATGGTCCACATAAGTCTGTGTACAGAGTGTTAAAATTAAAAAATGAGGGTATCGTACTTTACACAGGAGTCAGCATTGTCTTTTTGAAGCTTGGTTGGCAAAAGTTTTTGACTGTAGATTTTCCTTTCCAGTGGATGAAGAAGAATTGTTGTGAAAACCGTGACTGTGCCGGAAACTTCCTGCGCCGTACTAGACGCATTGGGAAATTTATTAGGAAGCTCTGGTCAGATATCTCCACATGAGATATTTGTGCGGGATACTCCGCCGATCTGCTTTATATATGATCAACCGCTGCTGTAGTCGCTTTCTATGTATTGTGATTTTCCGGAGAGGAGGACTAGCTTTACCATATGCTATTTTATAATCAGACTAGAAACACGCAACCATGTAGCCTAAGGAGGAAGTATTGAGCATGGGGCTGTGGTTTTAGCTTACTACATACACACTCCAATGTCTTTTGGTAGATGTAGTATGGCCAAACGCTAAGAAAAAGTACTAAGCAATAAATATCATATAATTGTAAAGATAAAGATATATTCGGAACTTTGTTCCAAAGCTACTTCAATGGGGGTTAAGGAGACGTATAAGGCTGGACAGGCTGGCTCCACGTACTAAAACGATATAGACAGTATCCTCCAACAAAGCCCCTAATATCCCCTTTTTGGTACAAAAATGAGGCTATGCCCAGTATGGAGAACCACTGCTTTGCTACGGTTGATGCCTGGGGCGTAACAAAGAAAGAAGCAATAGCCCAACACGGGTTTAAGCCTTCAGTAGAGGCCATTTGCCCTAGAGGGCTCCGACGTGAAGCTATGTCCAAATCTGGCACCGATGATCATGAGGCAAGGTGTCTCCTGACTTATCCTGGCAACGGCACAGATCTAGAGTGCCTACTCTGAAGACTGTCACATCTAGTCCGTGGTTTTCCTGTACATTTCCAAACTTCTGATCGTAGCCTTTTCGAATTCTAGAGAATGCCCCTTTATTCTCGAAAAGATCTTTTCTGTTGCCGAAAATGGAGGCTCAATTGGAGACAACAACTGTTCCACCAGAGGGGCTTTCGAAAAAGCTCCTATTGCATGAGGAAGCTTTGGACGGTAAGGAGGCTCTGCGAGAACAGAATGTGAATTTCGCTACGGTAAGTCTTTTTGCGTATCACATCTTTCTGATATAAATGTTGGTGTCCTTCTACAAAAGGTAAAAAGAAAAGTCCGTCGAAAACAAAAGAACCAGCAACAGGTGTAACAAGAAACAAAAGTTGGCGATACTCGAATACACCGGAAAGTTAATGAAATTGAACCCCCAGCAATCTAGACTCGAGGCTGTGAAACTTGCTTCCAAAGAGTCATCTATCAGTATCAATACAATTCAAAGGTGGATCAAAAAGGAAACAGAGATACTCGCAATACGTGATGGTCGGTTCAACAAAACGAAGCAAAACATCCAGGAGGACGAAGCTTCTCTAGAATAAGTAATAGAGCACCGTGGATACTTGAGATTGCCACCAAGAAAACTTGCAGACAAGCAAATAATACCCAAAGAAATCTTCAATAAGGTTGGTTCTAAATCCGTTTATCACACTTCGAATTTCAATAACTTCGGTTCAGATGCACAATATTCATTGCCCAGTGCTATTTCTCCGTATGGAAAAGATGAAAATTTCCTCCTTCAAAGATGCCTATGTCTTTTTGGGCTATTTGGAAGACTTTAGTCATCCAGGACATCCTCCGGATACCACGTCACGTTCACAACCTTTAATCGAGACTGATATTGATATTCATTCCTAAAGTCTTTACAAAAAAGATTCGGTCAAGGCAGGATATGATGTGCTTCCAGAGGCTAATAAACGACGGAGATGCTTTGATCGTGCCGAGACATGGGCACGAGAAATGTCTTAATTTCCAGACAATTGACTTGCTTCGAATTTCTCGTGAGGTGTTTCCTCATGCCATCTCTTATACGCTTCAGGCTTTACATTGCGGTCTCACGGGTAAAATTTTTGATGAATCCTTTTACCATGACGCTACCAATGACACAAGCACTTGCAGCCGTCGGTCAAAAACTCCTTGAATTGGCTTAGAAAATTATTTATTGCTTATTGCTACTAGAATTAATAGACAAAGCTCATTACTTCCCCACTCCCCCCCAAGTGCTCAACGTTTAGTAAGAAGATAAAGAAGCAAAGAGAGAAACTACATGGCAGAGACAATCCCAGCGCGGCTTCACAAACCTGCTCAAAAGGTAGTGTTCCCCCCAACGCAAAGAACTCTCACTTGCAATTGCGCCAAGGCATCCGCTGTAGGGGTTCTGTATGTTGAAGAGACTCTGAAAAGCCAGCAGCATGGAAAGCCTATCAAAGCACTTGTAGTCTGTACACACCTGATCCATCAATTCCGAGCTTCTAACCATAAATCATCGAAAAAAGGGATAAAAAAAGTGGTGACAAGAGTGGGATTCGAACCCACGCCCTTTCGGACTAGCGTACAACAACTATCGAGATAGATCGAATGCCTTAAGCTAGCCTGGATGAGTGTTAATATAAGGTCTGTAGACGTCATAAAAGTAAAGGGAAAACATACGCCTTAGACCGCTCGGCCATCTTGCCATAGCACTCGGCCAACTTCTGAGGATTATTGAAGTCGATAAGCATACGTAGTACGTTGTGGCTAAGCGCATCGTCACTGAACTTGACCGTTCCCCGCCTAGACCACAACATCCCCGACAGCAGAGCATCACAAGGCGATTGCATTGTTTGAGCCAGTGCATTGCCGATGTCAATTCTATCACAGCATCTCATACCTCCTGGAAATCCGCAAGCTATAGCGTAACACAATCACAATGACGGACGCGCCTATTGGTAAGTTGCTGCCTTGTTTATCCAGCGGTCCTTTGGTTGCTTTCCGTCGATAATGCCTATGCACGAGGTAGCTCAGTTTGACGACCACAGACACAGAATGCGCTAATATTTGATGTCTCAATATAGTTCTCGATGGAGGAACTGGGTTCCTCAAAGTCGGATATGCCGCGCAGGTATGCTACACCCACAAACGCACCCGATCATTGCGCAGGACCTTACTTACAGTCTGCGAAGAACTTCCCAGAGTTTCAATTCCCGAGTATAGTCGGACGACCCATCCTCCGGTCCGAAGAACAGGGCGAAAGCGACATTGTTCTAAAAGATATTATGTGTGGAGATGAGGCGGCGGCGGCTCGATCGATGCTTCAGATTAGCTACCCGGTACGTGGCAGACCAGACTTAAAGAGAGGCGACAATTGCTAATTAATGGTAGATGGAGAATGGTATTGTGAAGAAATGGGAGGATATGCAACACCTTTGGAATTACACATTCTACGACAAGATGAAGATTGACCCGACAGACCGGAAGATCCTCTTGACAGAACCACCAATGAGTGTGTAACCCACTTTAAGCTTGTGTCAGACTTGGAATATTATGCTGACTTACTCAGATCCCCTCAAAAACAGACAGACCATGGCCGAGGTGATGCTTGAAGGTTACGGCTTTGGTGGTGTATATGTTGCGATCCAGGCTGTGCTTGCTTTATATGCTCAAGGTAGATACCCACCATTCAGTCAGATTAAAACGGACTGACACTGGACAGGTCTTAGTAGTGGTGTGGTGGTCGACTCTGGCGACGGTGTCACTCACATTGTCCCCGTCTTCGAATCTACCGTTCTGAACCATCACATCCGCCGCCTAGATGTCGCCGGCCGAGACGTTACCCGAAACCTGATTGCACTCCTCCTCCGCCGAGGATACGCACTAAACCGAACCGCCGATTTCGAGACCGTGCGCCAAATCAAAGAAAAACTCTGCTACGTTTCGTATGATCTGGAGCTCGACCAGAGACTCTCGGAAGATACCACGGTTCTTGTCGAGTCTTATACCCTACCCGATGGCCGCGTTATCAGAGTCGGTAGTGAACGATTCGAAGCTCCAGAGTGTCTGTTCCAGCCTCATTTAGTTGATGTTGATCAGCCAGGTATGGCGGAGTTGCTCTTCAATACGATACAGGGCACGGATATGGATGTGCGCAGCAGTCTTTACAAGGCTATTGTGCTCAGTGGTGGAAGCTCGATGTATCCGGGATTGCCATCTCGGTTGGAGAAGGAGTTGAAGCAGTTGTGGTTGACGAAGGTGTTGCAGGGCAATCCTGAGCGGTTGAACGTGAGTCCATCTATCTTAGAATGCGGTATAACGAAGCTAATATTTGATAGAAATTCAAGGTGCGCATTGAAGATCCACCTCGACGAAGGCATATGGTATTCCTTGGTGGTGCCGTGTTGGCCAACCTGGTATGTCTTACCGTTCCTTGCTCTAAAAGTTATGACCAACTAATGTGAAATAGATCGCCGACAAAGAAGACATGTGGGTAACCAAAGCCGAGTGGCAAGAGGAAGGAGTGCGAGCCCTGGAAAAACTGGGACCAAGGCAGTAAAAGCGTCCTCTCAATTCGGGTCTGTTGATGTTATATAGCGTAGGTTGAAGGGAGATGTGCGGCTATTCGTCCTGGTTTAGTACATAGAATCAATCAAATCAAAATCACGATTTCATCTGATTATAATCATTCATAACGAGGATATCTATATCTATCTACCTACAACGGATATGCAAACCGCCAAAAATTACGAAGACTGAAAATAAGGACAGTTATTTCCCGCCCTGTCTACTCTTTTCATTCCAAAACGCCAATCCAGCCTTCTGCCTCAGTATGCCATACATGGACGAACTATCCAAACATTCACCAGCATACTCTCGAGCGGAGGACATATTGTCTCGTGCTAATTCGACAGAGGGCAGCTCAACACCGTTATCCTTTGCGATGCTCAATGCGTGATTTGCGTCTTTGATGGCGAGGGAGACGCCGAATCCGGGACGGCTCGTTAAGGGGGGCGCATAGACGCCTGTCGTTAGTCTATATGCCATGTCAGCCAAGTACTTTCCTTACACCTGAAGGCAGCGAAAGAAGCATACCGTTTCGAATAACCCCCCGCAATCGGCCCAAAAGCCTCATCAATCAACTCCTCCATCGCCCCTGTACCCAACCCCGTCTTCTCAGCAAACACCTGCGCTTCACCAACCGTCTCCATCAACGAGACAGTAACGATATTCCCCGCGATTTTGAGCAGAGACGACTTGGCGGGATCTTCGCCGCAGTCGATTACTTTCCGGCCCATTACGTCTTGGATCAAGGGTTTGATGATGTTCTGACGAACTTCGGGCGTTGCGCCGGCAAGCGCAAAGACGAGTTTTCCGGCTGTTGCGACGGGGTTTCCGCCAAAGACAGGGGCGCAGAGGAACGATGCACTCTTAGAAGATAGCTGAGACGAAATAGACGTGATCGTAGCAGGGTGAACGGTTGAGCAATCAATGAAGATTTTGGAGTCGAGAGACTCCCCGCTTTTGAGTACGTCGTTGATTAGAGACTCAAGCACGGCGTCGTTAGAGACCATGGTGAAGATAATGTTTGATTTGGAGACGAGATCCCCGAAGTTCGGCTGGGGGACTGCGCCGAGTTGTTGAAGGGGCTCGCCGCGGGAGAGCGTGCGGTTGGAATATAGCAGGCCCAGGCCTTGTTTGGCGGAAAGATGGCGTTGGAGATTGCTTGCCATTGCGAGGCCCATGGAGCCGAGGCCGTACTGGTTCCTCGTTAGCTTATTGTTCAATTGAAGTTCATAGATTGGAAGGAGAGGAGGGTTGGTACCCAGCCGATTTGTGTTGTGGCCATGGTTAGACTGGTTTTTTCCAACTTTTGTGTGTGCCGCAGCTTGGGCTTAATGTCCGACAAGATGACTACTCTCTACACACCTCTCCAGACACGGAATGACTCTTTTATATCCAGGATGTATGCAGATAAAGATACCGGGATAGGCAAGCGATTCCCGAGAGAAGATACCACGGCAAGTGGAGCTCCATACCTTATCGAGTCATACTATGTATATCGGCCGATATCTTTCAGTTTTATTTCTCGATCAGATAGGCCGATGAACAGAATCAGAGGATTGTATGCACTTGGAAGGTTGAGAACATTTATACAGATATTACAAATAGCTACAAATGCACAACTGCAGTCAGATCCAGACACAACCGTACTGTACAAAAGTCCACCCAACCAAGCTATAAACAGTAAGCCTCCTACCAGGAGCGAACCAGAGAAGAACGCAAAACACCAAGAAAGTAGATAAAAAGTATCAAGACGGCCGTGACCTCCTCCCATCAGGTTTAATCCTGACTGCGTCCACCAGCGCCGGAAACGCCTCAGCAAATTCCGTCCCCACAGACCAATTATTCAAATCGCGAATATGCCGCTCAAACACCGGGTTGATCAGCAATTCATCCGAGTCTGTATTATGTAGTAGGCAGTCTGTGGGCTCGTACGGCCAATTACACGATATAGTCCGCGTATAAGGCACAAACCAATTCTCAAAGGGATAGTCGCGGTATGCGTAGGACAGTCGATCACGGACCTTGGGCCATAGGATGTAATCCATCCAGGCTGGATGGGGGTTGAACAATTGTGCGGGTCGTGGTGTGAGCCAGTGCGGAATCCGGTCGTAATTCGCTTGCGTGGGATAGATCTGCCATCGCATGATTTGGAACATTGTGTAGAGCGTGCCCACTTGTTCTGGTAGAGAAGATATGTCGGGAAATGTGCGTAGGATATCGCTGAATACTTTGCTGATAGAGTAGGAATAGGTACTGTTTTCGGTAGGATTGAGTAGTGATGAGACGCTCGGGTAGGCCATTCGTTGTTGAATACCGCTCGACAACTCGCCGCGTCGGTTCTTGAGAAAATCCAAGAAGATAGAATCAAGTGGACATGTAGGTTTGAGATTTTGCACAGCTATCAGATGTGCTTGGCGATGATCGTTTGCCGCTGCTCCTGCGCCAGCAACCGCCCCAGTAGACGACGAAGACTCGAGTTTGGGTGGCTCAGGACTGCTACTGTGCTCCGCCGACAATTTGGGAATGTCTCTGATCTTGGGTATCTGTCGAGGATTATCGAGAAGAAAATTCAAGATGAGTTTCTCGCCAAACTCTTGCGTCGTTAGCTGCGGATTAGCAATTATGCTCATCACGCTTACAGCATCCGGCCGAGGCGCGCATTTGAGTTCGACATTGGTAGGAGACAAGTTTCCAGGAATCGACTCGTTCCATGAGTGGTCTAGCTGGTGGGACTCTAAGCTGACAGGTGTGTCGTGACTTCGATCGGTGAATGGGGATGGATGTGTCGTTTCCGCGGGGATCGGTCCGGCGTTCGTAGGTGGTATCGCGGAGTTGTTTGCAAGTGGTGCTGTTGTCATAGCCAACTGAGAATTCGTTGGCGATATTGTTGGCATGTCTAGTTTTGTTAGCAGTGCATTTCCACAATCGACCAGGAAGCGTACCATCTCTATCCATCAATGGCTGCAGTATGTTCATCATAGCGCTCAACCGGCGCTTGATATCTTGATTCTCTCTCATGATCCTCTCCTTTTCCGAAACCAAATTCTGTATATCCTGGTACGGCTGCTGAGATGTCAATTCATGCACTCGCCGCTCCAATGCCTCAATCTGGGCCTTTGTACGCTCCCGTATCGCTCGTTGCGCTTGCCGATCATTTGCGCGTTTTCTGGCTAGTTGCTCCGGAGTCAAGTTGGCCACCCCGCGAGGGCTTGCGCTGTTGATTTTACGTTTTGTTCCAGCGACCACGTTTCCGTTATGGTGAGGGTTGGACATGTCCATCGGATCCATCGTGTGGTTGAGTCCCCCTATGGACTCTGCCGAGGCTTGCTCGGGCTTGACGTTTGGCGACTGCATGGTTCTGTTGCGTGGTGGCAATCAATGCGATAACCGTAATCCTGTACTTTCTTGGACGTTCGTTGTGAGCTTCGTCGAGTTTTATGGAGTAATCTGATAAGGCACTATCAGACCAGGTAGATGTCGCTTCAGATTCGCATCATACGAGGCCCATACCCCATCGGGTGCATTCTCTAAACTGTCTCCATGAAACTGGAATTGGATGAGGTGTGTTGGATTGGACGAGCGTCGAAATTATTGCGATGGCTGGGAATTGACCGATAAAAAAAAGTCTCTTCGTCAAGAGCTCCAGCGATACAAGCGCTCCCTTTGCGGCGGGGAGTACCAAGCTCGAGGTCGATGATCGCATCGACTACTGCACTGCAGTTGGTTGCCGAAGAAGGATCGGGACGGCGTAGATTGACGAAGCACCGGTTCGCAAAGGATGACAAGCAACCAGACGGGGTAATTAACAATCAATCGGGACTTTGGAGAGGTATATTGCAGGAAGTCGCTCGTATACGAGAAACAGTGAAGATCAATGAACGGCGGCCAAAGCGCCGGCTTTCTTTCTACCTTTGCCAGCTGCGGATACTGATTGGCTGGAGTGCTTCTTACATCCCATTCTCGATGTCTTCGATACTCTACACCTACTCTACTGTCTCGATCACGAATTTGAAAGATAAAATATAGAGTATACGAGTATGTATAGCGTAATAGATTTGTTTAAACAACGAAAAAACACAATGTATTATATCTACACTGCACCAAACGCCATATCGCATCGTCTAAATTATACAAGCATCTATGCGCTATTGAATCATGTGGCCCATTTTGCCAATCTGTTTGCATATTAATAAATATCATGCATCAAAGAAAATTGCAATGACTGACCTTGGTTTGCAAGTATCCCTCTATTTCTCTACTCCTGATACCCTTCTGCCCGCCTGTCCTCCAGGCGATGGGTATCATAGCAACGCGTTCCTTCACACGAACTTCTCTATTCGGGCCTTCTACAGCCAAAACCTTATCTGGATTATTAGTGAGCAGTCGGATACCCTCTGGGTACGCGTCGGCACCCAGTCCCAGATCCACAAGCATGGCAGTAGCAAGACCGTAACTGCGGGCATCCGCAGGATGGCGTAAAATTAGATTGGCTTCGACCGTATCCGAGCCCAGATCTTGTAAGTTATATGCTTTGAGCTTCTCGCCCAAGCCAATTCCACGGCCTTCTTGTCGGAGGTAGATAATCACACCTCCCGGACCGTCGTTCCCGGAAGTTGGTTCAGTGATAGAAGACGATAAAGTAGTGTTATCAATAACTGGACCATCTTTATCCATAGTAAGATCGGAGGACGACTCTGATGCCATCGACATCAACCGCGCAGCTTCATCCAATTGCTCTCCACAATCGCATCGAGCGGACCAAGCCGTTTCACCCGTATAGCACTCAGAATGAATTCGCACAAGAGGAGCTTGTTGAGCCTTTCTCAATTTATCTGCCGCTTCTCCGCCCAATCCACCTTCGGCATCAAATCGACTGCTCACCCGACCAGGATGTAGTCTACCGACATAAGCGCCTCGAATCATCCTATCCATCTCTGTTTCCCCTTCCTGTACACGATCTAAACTCCGTGACCGTATATTATTGCCAAATACAATCGCCAAATGCTCTTTATTGTCGGCGTCGTTTTGATATAAATGGAGAAACATCTCGGCGCCCGTTGTGGTCGGAATTCGTGCGCGAACGATACATTCGACATTCGGCAAGCGGTCCATCAACTTGGGCGGCTTGTGTACATGTTTATGTGTTCGAGCGTCATGTGGCTCGACTTGAAAGGCTTGTTGGGTGCGGATTATGGTGCCTCCTGGAGTGGAGGGGGGTGTGATGGCAGGCGAAATAATGGATTCGGGAAGAGCGGGGGTGGCATTGGAGCTGGTATTTTCGCTTGCGAGGGCTCTACCTAATAGGCTTCTGTGACTCGTGATATCGTGCGATTCTGTTGGTATCGAGGAAGGCAGACCGTCGAAGGAGGCATTCGGATGTCGCGGTTGCGGAGCGATGTACGGAGATTTCTCCGCCATGGTGGCGATGCCGATTCAGTTGAGTCAGGGTATGAAAATGAAGAGGACGGCAGGGTACTATCTTCTGATCACAAGAAATGAAATGTACTAGATAGAATTTACATGCAGGTAGGTAATTGTAGCATGACAGAAACAAAGTATGACTGATTGCTAATGTCAGCGTCCCTCAGTCTTTCCTCGTTTTATGCGGGGAACGCCATCGCGACCGATTGGACGTCCGTTGCTCAGAACCCGCCAGATATTACTAATGCCGCCATTATCCAATGCTGAATCAGCTCGTTTTTCTGTTCTTTGTGACATATGCTGTTTGTGTCGGTATTTCGGGCTCAATTGACATAAATCTGATTTCTGAGCATATACAAGACTCATTAATGTACTCCTCTTTTATTCTTTTTTCATAACCGGACCTGCAGCCGATAACGGTGCCGGTTAACTACTGGTCATGCATAGCCGAGGTCGAAACGCCTCATATTTTTATAGAGAGAAAAGACGGATTTTTCATCTCATTAGTATGCACACTCTATTGTTCGTTATGATACTACTTGGTATCGGTCTCACAAAACCTCACCAACATGTACATTGAAGCCTGAAAGTAAAATCTCATGTAATCGTAAAGTGTTCCATCACCTGCCAAATGAACTCCGAGCCGGATCCCACCAAGCTGCCTGAAAATTGCGCCGTATCAATGTCATAACGCCGTAATTGATGATTTGGGTAGTCGGACTACTTGGAAGGAATGTCAAGGACGAAGCGTCGGTCCACCTCCATCTCCTTGTCGTCCTCCTCGCCTTCAAATTTGAGACGATACACATCCTTCTTGGTACCCATGACTTCGGCACGATAGAAAGTAGTAGTATCGGGGTAGCGAGCAAGGACCTGTTTTCCGACCGGGAATGAAGGCAAAGTAGAGCCAATCTGAGGAATGGGGATCAACCATGCGGCTGTAGTCTTGTAAATGGCTCCTTCTTCACCATTCTCGTTGGGCTCTGGGTCTTGGACATCGTATCTAATGCAAATCGTGTTAGCTAACTATTTCACACGTGTAATTTGGGGTTTTGCATATAAATACTTCTTCTTGTAGCCATCCCCGTAGATGCTCTTGATGATGCACTGGATCCCCTCGCCTTCGGCACCCTGTTTCTTGTTGTGTTTGTAAACCACCTCGGCTCCGATGACGAGTTGACCACTACGTTCTGCAATGGTTCCCTTAGCAGCTCCCTCAGCGACATCCTCCAGCTTGACAGAAACAGAGTCGCGACCTTCCTTGGCATGACCAGAGCTCGACACGCTGGAGCTACGCTGAGTGCTTCCCTTGACTCGATTGAGTTTGTCTGGCAACAGAGCTGAATTAGATGCTGTGGCTGCATGGCCGGCAGTACCATCACGCGCAAAGCTTTGCTTACTAGACTTGGGAAGAGAGGTTGCTCGACTGATGGAAGTCTCTGCTTCCGATGCGGAGCGGAGAGCAGTCAGCAAGCCCAAATTTTTGATCACATCGCTAGGCTCTTCGAGAAGAATAGCCTTTTCCTCTTCGCTGAGCTTCAAAACTTGGCGGTACCAGCCGTCGAGCTGATTGATATCGGCAAGTGTTGGTTCTGTAATATTAGAATTATCATCATAGTATAGGGAAGATAGAAAGAGACGACTTACTGTTGCCCTCGCGAGCAATCTTCTCATTGAGTGCAGAGATCTGTTCAGCGATGACCTTCTGTTTGTCATTCTTCTCCTTGGCCTTGCGAATGTCTTGGATGATCTTGTTCCACATATCGATCTCCTCGTTAGCAGCAATACCATTGTCCCTGTTAGTAGGGGGGCCACGAGGACGGTTGCGAGACATGATGAATGACTGAGCTGGTTCTGTCTGGGAACTGGAGGCTGATTCTTCGCGTGCGTTTGTATTTTCACGTCGAAGAGCCTTCCACTTGGAGACTTGGTCAAGGTCGACTATGCTGGCGCTCAGTCGAAGGTTGTAACTGTGATGTTGTTGATTGGTGGGGACAGCAGCAGCTGGCTGAGGCTCGTCGACTTCGGGAACTGCCTTTGACCGTTTATTTTTCTTTGATTTTTGGCCCTTCTTTTTCTTCTTCTTTTTGCTGGCTCCTACCACCCCAGCCTTCACGTCACTTGTCACAGGAAAAGAGTCTTCTTCTGGTGAGACGGTACACTGTGAGCCAGAGTGTTTGTCTCCTTCCGCGTTGATGGGGGGTGTGGCGGTGGTGGTTGTGGCTGGTGACTGCGGCTCACCTTCTACTTCACCGCCTAGGCCGGATCCTGAACGTAGCTGCATTCTGCCAAAGGACTTTCTGCTTTGATAGACAGCAGGGCTTAGGGCACAAAGAGTCACGGGATGATGATGGTAATGACGTAGTAAAGAAACTATCTGTACGCTAAACCTTTTGCAGCTGTCCGGCAGCAAGACTAACCGTTCCTGGCACGGAGTTAACAGAGGGGTGAGTGAGGGGATCAATGGGACGCGGCATAATTACCGGAGCAACACCTTTTGTCCAGACAGATAACCAGTTCCAAAGCCAAAGGTTGTGATACAAAAAGGTTGCAAGGGAACAGTGGGAAGAAAAACAGAGAAGAAAAATTTCTGTGGGAGCTGTCTGCCTCAAATAACAAACAGCTGGACAGGACGAGACTAGCTTCTCTCAGCGTCCTCCTTTTGAGCTTCAATTTGATAAATACAAGCAAACCAGGATCAGGATGCAGGTTCCTCTACTTCGCCTACAGTGTGGTGAGTGCTATCTAAGCTGTACATGTCTTTGTGGGCTAACAATACCAGGTGTGAACAGCTACGATTGGGGTAAGTCTACGAGGCCATCAGCAATTTGGATATATTGAAGCTCAACTCTTGACCAGGTAAGGTTGGCCAACAGTCTGCTGCTGCAAAATATGCAGCTGCGACTGCCGACTCAAACTTCAGCATTGAAGAGGCGAAACCATATGCAGAGGTATGGGGACATCTTCTTATCATTTGAGCTTCGGACGTGTTACTGACGCGCAAATACAGCTATGGATGGGAACGCATCCATCTTTACCTTCAAAAGATGTCGAAACTCAACGAACATTACTAGACTTAGTACAAGATAACCAAGCGCTCATGGGCCAGGAGATCACACAGCGATATGGCGGAAAATTACCGTTCTTATTCAAGGTCTTGTCCATCAACAAGGCGCTGAGCATACAAGCACACCCAAACAAGAAACTTGCCGAGCAATTGCACGCTCGGGACCCAAGAAATTATCCTGGTAGGGACTTCGACCCTATTTGACTTTTTGTATGCATTGCTCATGGTTCCATCGCAGATGACAACCACAAACCTGAAATGACCATCGCCATCACACCCTTCGAAGGACTCTGCGGCTTCAGACCACTCTCTGAAATTGTGCACTTCCTAAACCGTGTCAAACCACTTCGCTCCCTTGTCGGACAACAAGCCGCAGCACAGTTCGAACAGATTGTCAAAGGATCGGAAAACGCGGAGGATGAGGCAACAGTCAGCCGTAATAAAGACGCCCTCAAAGCTGTATTTACATCCCTGATTGAATCGCCTCAGGACAAGATCGAAGAAGCGGCCAAAGAACTTGTTGCAGAGGCACAAAACTCTCCTCACAGTTTCGCAATCGACCCCAGCTCCGAGACGAACCCAAACGGCGCATCTGAGCTCTCGGAACTGGTAGTGCGTCTAAATGGACAGTTTCCCAATGACATTGGACTGTTTATTCTGTTTTTCCTCAACTTCATCAAACTCTCACCTGGAGAAGCAATGTTTCTCAAAGCGGACGACATCCACGCATACGTTTCCGGAGACATCATCGAATGCATGGCATCATCTGATAACGTGGTCCGCGCAGGATTCACGCCCAAATTTAAGGATGTATCTACACTCACTAGTATGCTGACATACTCCTATGCGCCTATTGAGGAGCAAAAAATGCAACCGACAGAATACCCCTATGCAACCTTGAATACTGTGGCGTACTCCAGCGGATCATCCACAATCCTCTACGACCCCACCGAAATTGAAGAATTTGCCGTTATCAAGACTGACCTCAATAAGAAGGGAGCCAAGGCAACATTTGATCCTATTCCTGGACCAAGCATCGTCATTTGCACTGGTGGACAGGGCAAAATTAGCGTGGGACCTGCCAAAACTGAGGAAGTCAAGGAGGGATACGTGTTTTTCGTGGGAGCTGATGCCGAATGTGTCATTGAGAGTACCACCGAAGACGACAGCCAACAATTCACGACGTTCAAGGCGTTCTGTGAGTTGACTGGGAGGGAGGATTTGCCGAATGGGCATTGACTAGACGGTTCCAAGTTGTAGGAGACTTTAGTATACGTGAAGAGTCTCTTGGGTAGAAAAAGCAATGGGTACGGAGGCAATGAATGGCGAAAATATATACCAAGTGCCAAATATCGGAGAAAAATAGCATTTTGCGATTGAATGGGTACAAGTCCAGTAAGATGAAGTTATAATTGTAGTTTGTATAGAACTCGGCAAAACTTTCCCTAAGTAGAACGCTCCGGCTAAGGTTGACGATCATGTTGCGGGAGGTTGTTAACGCATAAGGTGTCCGCATCATCCATAAATGAACAACACAAATAAACACAACCCCAACAGCCACAATGGATCCATTCTCAGCAGAAGGAGGTACGAAGCAATTCACAACACACTTGACAAACACCTGACTGATTTGACCAGAGCTCGTCAACATCCACAATGCCTTCCACCAAGGCCAATACCAGACCGTAATCGACTTCGACACCTCCTCCTTCTCCCCCGAAAACGCCCTTCCCTCCCGCATACTCCAACTCCGTGCCAAAATTGCTTTGGGGCAGACAGAAGATGTTCTAGCTGATATCGAAGGCGAAGCCGACGATATCCCGGACTTGGCAGCTGTCAAGGCGCTGGCACAGCAAGTAGCTGGAAACACCGAAGACGCATTGGCGCTCGCACAGAAATTGGCAGAGACACAAAGCGAGAATGCGACTGTGCAGGTACTAGCTGCTACTGTGTTGCAGGCGCAGGGACAGACGGAGGAGGCGTTGGCGTTGCTCGGAAAGCATCAGGGCAATCTCGAGGCGTGAGTTTGTACACGGTCAGGCGATGTTAGAAGGAAGATCGCTGACGATGGGTATACAGTGTCGCTCTTTCAGTTCAGATCTACCTCCAAACGAATCGGGTCGACCTTGCTCTCAAGGAAGTTGCCGCCGCAAAGCGCTGGGCGCAAGATTCGCTGCTTGTCAACGTCGCAGAGTCATGGGTCGGACTACGAGTGGTATGTCTCCATGATCCTCCAGGGCTCTTGAATACTCACTCACTCGCGTCAACAGGGCGGCGAAAAATACCAATCCGCATTCTACGTCTACGAAGAACTAGCCTCAAACCCCAACTCCACCGCCCCCTTGTCCATCGTTGGTCAAGCCATTGCCGAATTACATCTGGGACGCTTCCCCGAAGCAGAGGCTGCATTGACAGCAGCTCTCGAAAGGTATCCCGACGATGTGGAGCTGATTGCCAACACGATTGTGTTGAATGTGCTTACGGGCAAAGATGCTACTGAATTGACGTCGTATGTGCATCCCTTAAACCGTTCATGAATATATGGCTTCTTTGCTAACACTTGGATTAAAGACGCCTGGAATCTCTTCAACCATCGCATACACTCATTACTGATTTGGCAGAAAAGAGCTCTTTCTTCGATACAGCAGCCGCCAAATATGTTCCCAAAGTCTCTTCGTGATGACACGTGTAGATAGATTATACTAATAATAATCACTGCTTATAATGAAAATTGAATATACCAAAATTAAAATAAAACGTTATTTATGAAGAGGTCGGGAGACTACGTCGGCGCCATTCTAAAATCCAACATATCATCAACCGAAACCCATCCAGATACTCTCTTACTAAAAATCGCCCATCGAAGCACATCCCTCCACTCCTCCCACCACATCTCCTCAGTCTGCACCACGGGTACACGGTTGGGATTCGCGGCCGGACCGGGCGGTAAAGAAGCATACGGCCACACGGCACGAACAACCTCATAACGCTTCTTGTCCAGCAACGGCGACACCAACGTCGTAAAAAAGCTATTAAAACTATTTGAGCGGGGCGGGTAGACGACTATTTTAGAGTATTTGACGGGGAATGTGATGGTGATGGGTTTGTTGTAGCCCGTTGAAGCGATTAAACTTCGGATCTGGCCTTCGATATAGCTTGTGTTCCAGTTGGAGAGTTGGCGGGTTAATGTAAACCTATCAGAGTCAGTCTGTATTTCATGAGCTAGTAGAGGGAGGAAATGGGACGTACGACTTCACTGCTGAGCCCTCCTTGCAAAACCTCTTTGCCCATTCATCTAACCCGCCTTTGACTGTTGGTGAGATTCCGGCATCACTTCTGCCACGATACGCTGATTCTCCGTCCGCCACTAATTTGACATAATTCCACCTGTCCTGATTACTTGTTGCAGTCTGGTTCAGAAACAATGGCAACATATTGATCTTGATGTCAAAATCCCGCTGCAAGCCTCCGTTATCATCGCTCAGGATGTGGATATACGGTAATGGCGGTAATGCTGCTTGTTCCTGTATAAAGCGCACTAGACTCGCAGGATTCGTGGAGAATGCAGGATGGTAGGTTGAGATTGTGGACCCGTCCTTGGAAAGCGATGAGTTCGGGATGGTATATTTGGAGAAGTCGATGAGCGGGAATGTGGCTGATGTAGATGTAGATGTTGCTGGTGACGATGTTGTCCTGATTGGGCGTCGAGGAATCGCAGTATTGGACACGGGGCTTGAATATGGCGGAGGTTCTGAAGTAAATGTTTGGTCGAAGATGTTATTGTTGTTGTTGTCATTGTCACCCTCATGGTTCTCCGCATTTTGATTCAATTGACCTTGAGCTTCCTCCTGGGATTGGTCCTGCTGCTCCGGTAAACCTTTCTTCGTCATATTGATTGTCTTCTACGTATTTTCACTGTCTGAAACACTTGGAGAATGTATAGAAGAATAAATGTCAAGATAGAAGTGAGCAATGGAGGCAACAAGATACTGTTCGCAGGTTGCTTCCTATCACGGCTTAGCGCGGGCAGTGAACCTCTTTTTCAGCTCGGACTTAAACGTCAGCCTCCACCCGCTGTGGCTGAGCCCGTAGCCCTAGCCCTCCTTTCTCTATTCTGTCAGGGATACATAGCGTTCCCAGGCAGAGATGCAAGGCGTGCTTTGAGAGATGTAAAAGTCGTCTTGGCTGACTGACAGTGGTACAGAGCTATTTTTTGTAGGTGATCGAAAAGAATGATGTACTGCAAACTAATCAATATATCACCAATATCAATCAGTTCACATGCGAATTGAGCCGCCAGCTCGATCATTCTTTATACATCTTAGGATCTACGTCGAAGTGAGCAATTAGTTGTATTTCCCGAGTATATGTACTTCCTATTTTCGATTCAATGCGAAGGATTTCTTTTAGAGTACGGGCAAACCAATGTAAAGTACCACGCTGGCTGTCCTAGATACCTACCATTCACCAAGACTTAATTAGAATACTTGGAAGACTCATAACTACGCGGCTATCCAAATTATACAAGCTGAGGAATATAGTAAATAAGTCCATTCGGCCTAATAAAGATACAAAGAATAAACCAAATTGAGTACACTCGTAGCAAAGGCCAGCAAGAAAGGCTCGGTTCGAGGGGGGTATCGCGAAATGATAATGCTATATGTAGATACACAGAAAGCAGACGGATCCAGTTACGCTTGTCGCTTAAAGAACAGAACAAATGAAAACAAAAAGGATTATAAAACGATTATGGGGTGAAGCAAAGTCTGGATGACACGACACAGTCCCGATGCAGAGCAAGCAAACGATATGTGGATGCGATATGATACCGATGATGATGACAAGACAAGACACCTTTCCATGATGATATGATGATGGATCTCAAACAAATGAAAATATACATGATCGAAAAGAAAACGCCACCTCGAAACAGAAACCATCGCCAGCGACTCGAGAATGATATTGATGCACATGAAAGAAACAATGACAATGCTTGAACAATTGATTATGCAATGATGTCCAATGACATAGCCCTCCTGTAAGATATAACGCCATCCTTGTTGCCAACTTTCACGGATATGACGCTAACAATCGATTCATAACAATTTGTAATGCTGAACAAAGCAATAAGGAGATAAAAGAGGTAAAAAGTTTATCTGTCGTTTTAAGAAAGTGCGTTCAGCGGTGGAATCGTTGGTGATGTCGATGCCACAGGTCTGAGAAATGGAGAGTAGTCCTTGCTTCGAATAGATTCACTATCGAATTTGTCGCCCCCAGTCTTCAAGGCTCGATCGCGTTCCTTGGATCGAGTTCTTTTAACCGTCTGACTGATTTGACGCAAGAGTCCTTTTCGCTCAGCCTTGAGTTCGTCTAAATCTAGTCGCTGAACAGGCACCAATTCCTCCTTGGTAATCTGGCAGAAGAGCGTAGAGAACAAATATTGATCCCCGCTATCATCATATAATGGGAGATAGCGGTAGCCTTGGGATAGACTGCTAAATTTTGCGGTGAAACTGGCAAGTTGTATAGCACCGCTGCCTCCACCAGTACGTCCGTCAGGCGAGCTCCATACCGTCCAACGAACGAAGACAAGATCGGGGTATTTGGTTTCGACGGCCAACCACAGTTTTTCGTTGAATACTGGGCTGAACCCGTTGCTTGGCTCGATCTTAGTTCGGCGACGATGGGGTAGCCCTAAGCCTGACATGCCGTTRCGAGCCGATACGTCCTGCCCACCACCTCCAAGAGCGACACATTGACCGCGGTCATCAGCCGAAAACATCTCGACTTCAATGTACGGGTTGATGTTGTCGCCCGGTCCCATGCTTCTTGGTCGAGGGAGCTGCTGGGCTGAAATAATATCAACAGACAGTCGAACAATTTCACGTTCTGTGGTAGCGAGTTTTCCTTCGCTTAGCGCGTCCAGTGCGGATGACGGCCGACGGAATGCTTCTGGCTTGAGCACATAGCCCGTACGATCAGTGCCAGCAGCAAACATTGCCTGGTTGATCTGCATACCAATATCGTATGTCTGCCAATTGAGCGCTGCCATTTGGACGCCGCTTCGCCAGAATGAGATAGGATCAAAGTTGGACGACTTCAAGCGAAAGGCAGACGGGTAGACTCGTGTGAGAAAACGTTTGTTGTGAATCTCAAACAAGGCTTTGCTCTCCGCGTCACGACATACGCTTTCATAAGCCCGTTCTGCAAATGAGTAAACGTGATTGTATTGCTTGCTCTCGGGAGCAGCAAAGCTGTGCCATTTGTAACCGCGGGTATAGACACCAAGATCAGACAATGCCTTGGTAATCTTGCTTCGTTGCCGTCGCTTTTTCTCTCTGTTAGCATTGATCAGTGCACTGTCGCTGTCTTCCGTGGCGCTGCTCATGCTAGTGGTCGTTCCTGAGCGGCGTCCCGGGGCGATTATAGGCATAGGCATGCTAGCATCCAATGGAGGACCGATTGTCGGAGAACTTGAAAGTGGAATGTCGATAGCACCGTGGAGGCTTTCGTAGCCTGCGCTGCGCAAGAACGGAGTGCTGGAGCTTCGCTTCCGCCCATGATGGAAAGTAGGTGTCGGAGTTGAGATGCCATCTATAGGAGGGAGGAAAGCGCTCTGCGGCTCATCGCAGGTTTTCACTTTGACCAAGATCCTGTTTTTCAGCTCTTCCGGTGATGGAAGTATGCCACAATTGGTAAGTAACGGCTCAAGAATCAACTGCTCGCCAAACGTCTCCTTCATTAATTTTACCATTGCAGATTGCTGTTCCGGGTTGCAATGTACTTCTAGTGACAGGATCAGAGGAAAATTGGAAGAAATAAAGGCGTATCGGTTGATCACAGTGATACAATCAGCGAACAAGACACTGGTCGTTAAAGTACGTCCATGTGAAACAATAGGACGGCCATCAGAACCATCCCAACAGTCGATTTCGACGCAGCGACATCCTTGTTGAAGAGCAGTAATGTAGGCTTCTGTGCTCGAAGCCCCAGCCACCTGGCGGCCGAGAAGGTAGGTGTTGTGTGAACTAGAAATGAAGTATTCATTGATAGGGCGATCAAAGCGAGACTCGGGAGCATGAGAAGAATAGATGCCGTTTGCTTCAGACTGGAGGAATGATGTCAAAGCATTCAAATTCATTCGTGGTAGATCAGCATCCGGAGAATCTGGCAGGCTTTGTGCTCTGGAACGAGTTCGTCGTACAACCCGTGCGAAAATCGATGACCAATAATCGCGGTCACGAACGATATCTTCTCTTTGAACATCGCGCAGAAATTCAAGAAACTCATCAAGACTGAGGCCTTCTTCGGGACTGCTCACAGCAAGTTGCTTGTATAAATGTTTCAGATCTTTTCGCTCTTTTAGCCCAGCAATGAATTCCTTGAACTCCGAGTAGTTTAGATTGCCCTTTCCCGTAATATCTGCTTTGGCAAATTGCGTGCGAAGCATATCCTTGGAGCAATTGATGTGTAGACTCTGGCAAACAGACTCGATGGCCGGCAGATCCAAGGATTCAGTTTCTCCCGGCTGCAGTCCATGTGGATAAAGTCTCGACATCTCGCGCTGCCAGTGAGCCCGCAGAGAAGTCTCGTTCTGACTAGGTCCTACGAGACTTGTCATCAAACCGACCCTGTAGCGGACAACATGCTCAAGAGTTGCCTTCCAAAGTTCTAACGTATAATCGTCGGGGGTGATGAGGTGGATAGCCTTGAAAGGTCGCTGCTTAGACCGATCCGGGTCGTCGAGGATGATTGTAATCCATCGACTTTCGACTTCTGCAGAAACTTGATACTCTTCGCGATAGTTGCGAGCATCCGCGCCGACATGTATGTGTAAGATGTCGTCAATGTAAAACTTTTTGGATGGATTAGATAAATCCCATCGTACTTTTGCAGCATCAAGGTCCAAGAAGAAGCGAACTTGTTTCCTCTTTCTCTTGGTGACCTTGGTAAGTAATGTGCCACGCTGTAGTACGGAATCGACCTTGGGAGCGATAGCACCAATTTCACGAGGCAAGAGAGTTCCGGGAAGTTCACTGCTAATGCTGTTCGCCTCAGAACCAGCCCAGCCGTTGGTGAAAGACTCGTAGACATCGTTGTCTTCGTCATCGAAACTCCAATCCAAAGTACTCTCTCGACCGGTGCGAGGCTGAGTCTTACTGTCACTCCGTCTTCGCATGATGACAGGGCCGGAGCTTCTCTCTCGTTTGTCACGTTGTGTGGACGATTGACGACGTCTCGTTAGCTTGTTTGCAGCGCCTCGGGAGATCCTGCGCATAAGGCCGGTGGTCCCCTTTGTGGTAGATGATACTTGATCAATGGGTTGTGGAGCAACAGAAGGGATACCGTTGACGGCCATCGTGTTGTCGAGCGTTTCGTCGAGTTCGAGGGGAATCGGTGGCGCCAAAGTGTTTGAGAGGTATCGACCACGACCGCTGTCGGCAGCAAGCATGTAAGGTGTCCCAATGGGACTTGACGCATTTGAGAAACTACTTCGAGGAGCGAAATTAGGGCTGGAGTTGGAGGTAGTTGAAGTAGTGGTGGGAGCGGTCGAAGTCGTTGTGGAAGAAGTGATAGCGCTCGAAGGAACTGAGGAGGCGGAAAAAGCGGCATTGATATTGGTAGCAATGCCAGAGGATGCTGACGTGAGAACATTGTGCAATTTAGGGCCTCGGGCCAGCGAAGACGGTGACACTTTAGACGAGACACTATTATCGCCATTCAAGGCGGAGGATGAGGAAGTTGTGGAATTCATAGTGGAAAGGAGGAGCTGAAGATATGAGCGACACCAGTGTCAAACTCTTTAGTCACCTGGACCAGCCACGGGACAAGTAAGCAGACAAAGCTGCCTGTAAGTATTCGGTCTGTGCGGTAATAAAAACAGCAGACAGGTCGATTCGAATAGTGCAAAGAGAATCGGATCCCAGATAGTACGCGGTCAGCGATTAGCTATCTGCATCTTGGAATGCTGCAGTAACGTGGAGTCAGCCCTTCCCGAGGGCGCCGACACGGGGCGGAAAGTCCTCGAGGTATTTCTTTTAATGAATAAATTCACAAGGAAAATTTAGGCGAGATTTGAAGGTGAATTTGTCACTTTCAATGACGTACGACCGTGCGATGGGTTGCGATTTTATACCACCCAAGACTGTAACAGCGAACTCCAGAATCTCAAGCTCTTCTTCTCCAGGCTTGTGTTGCCTAATCCGGCTATTGAGCAATCCCTCTGTCTGGGATATCGAAACGAGAATACGTGTGGCTTGATGCACAAGTGTTAGTTCGGGAGACAATTCCTTGTCTGTCGATCAATCGAAGCGGACCAGCGCGATACTATCTGCAAGTAACGTCGACAGGTGAATATGGCCCAATTGCATGCCAATGCCACTGCCAGACTGTTTTATAGGCAGGAGGGGACAATGACGCTCCAAATGCGGCTTGTATGCACGTAAGCAAGTCAATGTGCAGCGTCTGTAATTTAGTGAAAGAAAGGTATGGCTCGGCTCGGCGTGTCACTGCAGAAAAGCAGGAAAGCGGGGCGAAGGATGCCAGCAGATCGTCAAGTTTGTCGTCAGCCTGTCACAGTTTAGTCGTCAACGACTAAAGGAGGGGAGCCAGGAAAGCTAGGATTGTGCCCGTGGAGGCAACAAGGCGTTCGAGCGTGGGATGGCACAGCTGTCGGGTCCGTCGGCCGCGAATAGATCATGTAACTAGCAGTGGGATATGGAGAATAACTCTTTTTCTTTATGCCAACACAGCAAATGCTATGCAAGTAATCCAAAGCGGTAAGCCTGAACTAATCTGCAGCTGTCTTTTCGGGCGAAGGCGTGGTAGCAGTAGCTGTGGTGATGCGCGTGGGTAGACTCGGCGGGGATTGAATGCGCCAAGAAGATGGTATTTTTCGTTATCCCTTGATTTTTGGTGGAAATTGGCTTTTGTGTCTTCCGTTTGTTTTAGCTCGACGATGGCGCTGCCTTGTCCTGCAAGTTCGGCTCGATCCAGTCGTAACGCGAGGGGCGCAGATGAGAAAAAAATTGAGGGACGGACGGTATTTGAAGCGATGCGCGGCGCGCAGTCAACGGCGGGAACCTGCAGATGAATAAATTTATTGTTGGACGAATGGACGGTTGCGGCGAACAAAGAAATACGATAGATAGTGTATCGATGCGATGCGATGCGATGCGGTACGTACAGATGATTTCGGCAGAGTTGTCGTCAAAAGAGAAATTGGGTATATCGCCTGTGTCGAACAAATATGCGCGGTGGACAGAGGCTCTGAGTCACTTTGGCGGGCGGGAATCGGGGCTTGAAAAAAAGTTGCTTCTGGTGACGTTATTTTCGGGGAGTATGCAATTGGCGATTGGCGAGGAGCCGTTGAGTAGTTCTGTGTACGGAGCTGAGTAAATCGTCGAGATGTTATATGGCGAGAAGGGGTAGTGGAAGTAGGAGTCAGAGGGATATCGAGAAAGAAGCAGGAGTAGAAGTACCGAGACGTGACGATCTTCTTCTTTGGCTGGAGCAGGAAGGAACGAAGGGGGGAAAGAGCGGAGGGGCGGGCAAAAGGTGAAATCACCGAAAAGGGCAGCAGCTGGTGGGGCGTCCAAATTTTTGTTTCTTGCAATACTTAATAATTTTGTACAAAATACAAGAAATTTGAAATTTCAGTGGGATGATAGCCTGAGGCTCGTCAAACCAGATCCATAAAAAAGGGAGTGTGTCATTCTGCATGGACCAGGGAGAGGTGACATAAAATAGTGGACAGTATGGAGTGCGTATGAAGAGGTAAAATAAAACTTACTCCGTAATTCATATGATCGTTATTTATCGACGCTGTTAAGCCCAGTCCACCTGGCTCTGCTCCCACTTCTCGGACCCCCCGGCAGTGGGCACATTAATCAATAGCGCGTGGGCAGCCAGCAACAAAAGGAATAAAAATAAGATAAAACAGCCAACGGGCTGTAAATTGGGAGGGGGCGCGTAATAATACTGAGAAACGATTTTTACTTCTTCAATGATCCCTGCACATCCCTAGTTTAGTCTCGTACCCGAGTCCCGACGGTGCGGTCGGTAATACCGTTTGGTAACTTACGATAATCGAAACGGCGCTATTTTTTGGTATGCTTGTGTAAGATATACGGGCTTTGTAATCGAAGCATCAACGGTAAGCAATCAGTAATCGAGTTGATATCTTCGTGTGTATTGCCTGATTTTGACGGAAGACTGACGACAATTCTGACTTTGCGAGTACGGAGGGGTGGCAGGGTATATCTTTTATAGAAGCCTAAAGGGCGAATTCGAAATGACTACCCAAGATGGAAAAGCATCACGATAATTCACGGCCGTCGCTGCCCATTATGATTGGAAGCAAACACTAATGCTAAATTGCGAAAACAGCTGTTCCAGTGTCGAAATGCCAGCGTTTCACGGGCGGAAATAACTAGTGATTTGTAACTGGCTGGGTTGCTAGGGCTTTTATCGTAAAAAGTGGGCTGTTGTATGATTTCCCCTTCCTTGGCCAAAGAGCAAGTTGATTTCAAAAGGATCAGAAAAAACGCGGCGAGTAGCGGACCGTGGTCGGGAGTGTGGAACAACGACTATGCAGCAGGATAGTCACACATGACAACTGACAGTCAGTAGGCGATGCCCAAAGCAAAATCGTGATCGTGACCGTTTCTGTCGAGCATGCATGCATACGTACTACGCTGAATGACGACGGTCGGGTACGCGCAATCATTGGTTTCGTGATGAAATTAACTAGCGGATTACGTCGAGCGATGCGAGATCTGTGATTGTCACCCAACACGGCGGATACGGCTTGGCCATTGGCCAATTTAGATTATATACGTAGATCTGGAGAATACGTTGATACAATACAATTTACCATACCGAATGCATGCTGATGATACATAGTATGCCTAATTTACCTTGGCCCTACATACTATGTCCTTACTAGTGCCTACTCCGTACGGAAGTGATGAGTTATCATTAACTTTCACCAGCAATGAATCGACCGTTTCATCTCAGATTATCCCTATCTCCCTGATCCTAGGTATGATGATCATACATAATCTGCCATCCCTGTGCCCTGACATAAATGTTTGCCATTTACTATGTAATGATTTTCAGGAGGATAGTGTGGGGAACATACTCATATTACGGTAAATTACCACAAAATGAGTGTGCCTTTGTTCAACGTCTGGTCCTGCTTAACAAACACACGGAAATTAGGGCAAGAACCTTGGGAGATAGCCGCAATCAATGATATTCCTTTCGTATTCCGCAAGCCTGCACAAGGAAGAGAAAACAAAGAAACGTTTTCAGCTCGGTGACGAAAAGGCCGAATATATTTTGATTCCAACCGACTTTTTGAACCCGCACCCTGCCATAGCCACAAAGAACCCGCATCGCATCAATTAGGATTCAGCGGCCTGTATGAGCAAAACGACTTGCCTGCCATGTGCAAGTGAGATTACTGACATTGGAAGATGCCCGGGCGTGACCAAGCTTGATTGAAACTCGGCATTTAATTCCGCCGTCGCAATGATGAATCATGACTCTAAACAGTAGCTAACTACGTAGGTGAGATTAAGTTGGCACGAAGATTATTCTATTGGCAGGATGAAACGAGTGGTAAGATAATTGGAGATTTCCCGTGTTGGCATAATGAATGTTTTAAAAGTTCCAACCGTGAAAGGAATAATTGGTGGTAAGTGGAGAAATGCAGGGTTCTCTGACTCTATTCAGCTGGAATCCGCATAATACGTATGCCGTGTACCCCATACTCTGACTCTCGACCGGGTAAGATTCGAGAAAGAAAGAAGAAAAATTAGAAACATCCATTCATCCTCACATCCTGACACTAGTTTCCTGTCGAACACGACGTGGTCCTTGCTGACGGTACAAGGGCGCCACCAGAAACTCACCCTGCCCTGTCATGCGGGGGCATGCTTAATAAGTTGAGTCGTTGACTGGCAAAAAACAGTACATGCGCAGAAGGCTGCATGTTTAGATCAGAGGCAATTAGGCATCTGGCAAACGTAGAAGGCTGTGGTAAACGTGAACGAATACGGTAATTGTTTCATGTTGGCATGCATGCTGTTAGGCCCTCAATCCATCCGGAATACGAAATACGAAATACAAGAATAGAACCAAAAATAAAGAAACTACTAAATAAAGTCCAAGACAACAGAGAAGGAGTTGAAAGTCGGTCAAGCATCTATGCTGGAAAGAGTTCAGTGAATAATTACCGTATAGAGTAATTTTGTAGCTAGGGTAGTAGTTTTCTTTTTTACTTTTGTTTTGTCTCGGACAATCGGATCGTGAAAGATCGTACTGAAACTCCAATGTCTTAGCCAAGTCTTAGGGCTCGTTGTAGCGGAACTGACACCGCTCATTTCACTACGTACGGATTGTTTCCCAACAGAGGATTGTCGATTATCAATACCTTTTCCATTTTGATGAGGAAGCGGTGAGTGAGCCAAAGGTTTTTCTTTTTTGTGTGTGATTCCTCGAATATTCATTCCATCATCAGGCATCGCTTAATGCCTCCTCGGAGTCTTTTCCGAGGCCTCAGCAACTAACTGCATCCTCCTCGTATTTATGGAACCATGTACAAGCTCCGTACTAAAACAGACACAAACAAGAGAAAAAAAAGCAACGTTATGMCTCCGGAGCCTGCCGATAGGGATGCAGCTGTATTGGGCTAGTCTGCACGTCAAATCATTAACCATGCTCATTTCAATCTGCTAACCGCCGCATGCT